ACCCGGAGTGACTTTCTTTTTTTTTTTTTGTTTTTTTTGTTTTGTTTTTCGAGGCGGAGTTTCTCTGTATAGCCCTGACTGTCCTGGAACTCACTCTGTAGACCAGGCTGGCCTCGAACTCAGAAATCCGCCTGCCTCTGCCTCCCGAGTGCTGGGATTAAAGGTGTGCACCACCACTACCCGGCCCGGAGTGACTTTCTTAAGTATAACATGTTAATCTTATGAAGATCATAACAAAGAAAACTAAGTGGATATTTAGTAAGTCATTACATTACATAATGAGTCATTACATTACACCTGATTTGGCAGGAAATGTTCACACTTAGAGATTAACCGTGAACTTTTTTTTTTGTTTGTTTATAGCTGATATTCAGAAAAGGCTGATTATTATTATTTTTTTAAGAAAAATGTAGCTTTTAGTTATTAAGTCAAGGTATATCTGGATTCCCATTATTCTTCCTTGTATTCATGCAGGCTCCTTGAGAACGCTAACGGGTAATGAAATGTAAAGGAACAGCTGAAAAAGGCTCCAGAAGTGAACAAATGAATGGATAATTGGGAGTCAGCTCTAGTGTTATGTATTATAGTCTATGGACAATAAGTGGATTTTAGACATACTCATCACCTGGAGAGACACTGAAGATTATATATATATATACGTAATTGAAGGCCACATTTACTTGATAGATGCTTTATTTTTTTTTTCTGTGAAAAAATGTACTTGAAAATTTCCAAGACCCAATTTTAAGCTAAATCATAAGTAAAGACTCTTAGCTATTGGATTAAATGAGGAGTCAGGAGCTACCGTCCATCTCCTGCCAGTGAGGAGCCCTCAGAGCTACTTCAACAGAGCAGCAATCAGCCTGTCTTCACTTGAGGAGTTCAGAATCAATTGAGAAGGGGCTCGGCCAGGGAAAAGCAATTCTTTTCTAAGCAAACAGAATTGCACTTGTATGAAATGATCTAGCAAGTGTATGACATGAGACCTTTCCAATCTGTGATTTGGTAAAGGATAAGACATTAAAAAAAATTTTTTTTAAATATCTGACTTCTGAGATACCTTTGTAGAAACAGGAAATGCTAGGATAGCATAGGATAGCATAGGATAGCATAGGATAGGATAGGACAGGACAGGACAGGATAGGATAGGATAGGATAGGATAGGATAGGATAGGATAGGATAGGATAGGCTAGGCTAGGCTAGGCTAGGCTAGGCTAGGCTAGGCTAGGCAGTGCCAATTCTTTGGAATTGGCACTAAGTCTTTGGAATTTTCTTTCCTTCAGGCTAAACAGCACAACATAGAATTCATTTTCTATGTTCAAAATCTAGTTTCTATGAATTTTATAATTTAATGTGCTCAGCCAACCGCAATGACCTCACAGCAAGGAGACAAATAAAAGTTTAAAATTTCACGATATCAGAATAAGGGTCCACAGCAATGTGTAATAATTGTATACTTAGTATAGTGTGAACCCAGGGTCAAGGTGGAAGACAGGGACACTTCTCAGCCAGCCAGGGAACCTGTTATATAAACAGATGTTCTGCCAGGTGCTGAACTGTGTTTGCCTTTCCCAATTCATGTGTTGAAATCCTTATACCCAGCACCTCTTCTAAATGTTACTGTATTTGTAGACAGGATATTTAAAGAAGTGATTAATTTAAAAATAAAGTTATTAGAGTAGGCCCAAATCTGCATAAGATTCTGCACAGAGCCTTACCAACCTAAGACAAAAGTGCATTGCTTTGGATAATGCATATTTCATGATGGGTAAGGAAGGCATTCCTGTCAGAATGACCTAAGACAGGCTCAGTCTTGTTTATGAAATAAAAAAGGGGGAGAGGCAAAGAGCTTTTGGGGCTGCTTGGCAAGAATCTCACATGGGCCAAGGACAAGGAAATGGGCTGCTTGGCAGCAATCTGACATTGGCCAAGGACAAGGAATTGGGCTTCAGGCAGGAATTTGACATTAGGCTAGAACAAAGAAGTAATTTCAGGCAGGAATCTAAATCTTAAGCTAGACCAAGACAGTAGGCTTCAGACATGAAAATGACTTTGGGCTAGGATGGGGAAGTAGGTTCAGAAATTTTGGGCATCCTGATAAGCCCTTAGAAACAGTGATTATGGGAATGTTCACAGAACTTTTTTATTGCCTTGTTTGTTCTTTAACTATGTTTATTGTCTTGCTTGTTCCTTGACTATTTGCATTTATTGTATTGCTAGTCCTGCAACCTAGAACTGACCTTAATACTTGCATGTAATTAAAATGACATAAAAGCAAAAAGGAGGAGGGAGTGTGGGATAGGGGTTTTCTAGGGAGGGGAAATGGGGAAAGGGGATGGCATCTGAAATGTAAATGAATAAAATATCCAATAACAAAAAAGGTAGGTCCAAATCAAATATGATTCATGTTCCATACACCTCCAAAAGTCCAAAACAACAACAACAACAAAATGTACACATACAGCTATAGAAAAAAGATTACGTGAAGACAGAAGGACCACAAAGAAAGATGCTCTTAGTAGGAATCGCCTTTGCCAACACCTTCAGCTGAGATTCATAGCCCCAGATAGTGTGACAATTAATTTCTATTGTTTAAATTCTCCAGTGGGTGGTACTTCCTTATGACAACCCAAGGAACTTATACATTATGTATTTGCAGCTATGTATCCTTAGAAGATTCATGTATGCATTGAGTGAAGGCTCATCCACAGTAGATACCAGATACTCCTCTCACTTCACTGAAAGGATCATCCTGAAGTGGGAAATTTGGTACCCAATAGTTTAAGGGTTGTTAGAGGAGGAGGAAGGGAGAGATGGTGTGTGGAACTGATCATTTTTTAATCTACCAAGAATTTCTTATTACAAAAGGGTTGCATGTCCATTATAAGAAGTACTGAGAAATACAGATGAAGAAAATGTAGAAACAATATATTTATGATCTCATTTGTTTTCCAGAGTTTTCATATGAATACACAAATCTGTATACATAGTACATAATATACATGTAAATGTACATATCTGCCAGAGTTATGATAGAGTCTTGCTGTGTAGGTCAGTTTGTCCCTGGTCTCCTGCCTCAGCTAGCTAAGTATTCAGATTACAGGCATGCATCATGCTATCTGGCCTGTTATCACTCCCCTTTCATATCAGTAAGAACCATTTTCAACATCTGATTTCAGACGTCTTGAGATGGTGCTTGTAGGTAAACATGTCTAATGTTTGGCATATGCTATGGCTTTGCTATTTGCCAAACCATCTTACAGAAGGGATGTATCCATTTTTATTAGTAAGTCTGTTTCAAGTGCAACAGAAAGCCTGTGACCAGGGACTCTAGACTTAGCTGCCCCAATGCTAACTGGGAATTTCCTCCTAGGGAACAAAGTATGGAAACAAGAGGACCCTGAATACTTGTGCTAGCAGTGACTCAGGATGCTGGAAGTGGCTGGCTGAGGCGTACACAACACAGTAGGACAGGGCATTTCCCAGCTTAGTAGAGCAACAGGTGAAAGCAAACCATAGCAGGATCAGCATGTCCTTGCCTCTGAGATGGGAGCCATCATCTCTGCCAGGTAGGGCCATATCAGGTCAGCATCTAGGAGTCTATTTGGAGATCATGACACCAGGAGGGGCAGGGGGAGCAAAGAAGTGTGAAGGAAGGACTTGTTTTGCTCTTTCGAGAGTGGAAGGGAGGTCCCTGAGGACCTCTGAGGAAGCTGGGAGAAGCTATCAGTCTGAGGTTCCAGGGGTTCACCACTGGGACCTGTGATCACTGCAGCCATGACCTCTGCTTGTTCGTCTTATCCCTGGAGCTTTGAGGGCCTGGGAAAACAGGTTATGCTAGGGAACGAGCGGATAAGGCCTGGTGGTCTTTGCAGTTTGTATGTGTTAATGGAAGATGCTAGCTGATTCTGGTTCTTTGCCCAGGGTGAGGGTTCCCAAGGCGGGGCACACTTAAAAGGAAAACAAAGCTAATTTTTAAATGAAAAAAATAAAAGAGTATTTCACAAACATGAAAATTATGTGTCAGTCAATAAATGGTTGGCAAGAAACCTTCTGCCACGTGATGTGATAAAAAAATAGGTTAATTCCCCTTGGAAGAGAGTTTCAATCATCTTTAGAAGGCTGCAGAGCTTTGCCCAGGAGAGCTCCATGACAAATAGGTGTCTTTGAGTGTGTGGGAGATAGATTGTGAGACAAGGGAGAAGACCATTTTCCTTGTGCCTAGAAGGGTACCAGTCTCATATTTCAAGATATTCACAAGGAATCTGCTAGTCTTTCTAGGTTGGAGTTTGGCTGGCCACACACAACACACACACACACACACACACACACACACACACACACACACACACA